ATACTTTAAACATTAATTGCCATATACAAACAGAGTGTTGAAATTTTGAAGATTAACGTTTACGAAGGATTACACAGGAAGTCTTTCGGTGTAGCGAAAATTCTACATTACCCCAAATAAACAAAACAGAAAAAGAATACTCTTCTATACAGTATTACTTTTCTATAAATAGTTTTACGTTCTGTTGATGATCAATTTTAGCTTGAGACTGAATGAAATTTGTCCATTTTAAAGTTAAAAGATGTATTGTTTGTTTTTGCTTAAATTTGTCAATTTTTCAAATACACTTAATAATTTGATACTTTATATTTAAAAGAAACAATTTTATTGTTGAAACTTGTTTACTGTAACATATCTCATGACTAAACTATAAATTTATTCATCATATAAAGTAATTTGGGAATGCAAAGAATTTAAACAGGCCACTTTTGAAATTGGAAGTAACATAAAAACCTCATTCTTGAAAAAAAAATGGCGTTTGCGGTACTTGTAAAGTTTCATAAATTCATCGCCATAAAATATTATTCATTACATTAGCGTACTTCACTTTTGAAAACAAGTTTCAAATTTCATGAATGATTTCGTCAAAGCATTAAAATCGAGATACATTTAAAACATCATAACATTTGGGGCATAAATATATCGTAATTGTGCAGCATCTTTCTGTAATATTTCTGCTTCAAGTGAAGGCAATTAAAATATGTATAAAGTAAAGTCTGGATTTTAAAAGTTTAGAAATGGATAATGGGCAAAGTGGTAAAACTTGGGATACCTTGAAAATGGGAAAGATTATATTTTGGTCAAAAGATACCACATTATTAACCAAATAAGGTATTTAAGCTGCAATTTATTTAAGAGATTTCATTTTAAGTTAAGCTAGAAAGGAATTTACGGCCAAGAGTCGGATTTTTTTTATTCTACTCTGAAGATGCTGATATGTATTTCCGACTGAGTTTAGATACAAACGCTTTTGAATTAATTTTTTCGAATTATTTTTATTACAAACTTTCTCCAAAAAACGGCCTTTTATTGATAGTCCAGTTAGATAACTTCGAGTCGCCGCCCTACTTTCTGTGTATCTACGTACGGATTCACTAGATCGCTTTGAATAACTGATTACATTTTTAATCTGAGAAAAACATATTAAGCAGTTTTGTAATCAGTTTTTCGTACAAACTCTCTCTTAATAAGGTAGTATATCTTGTGAGGTTCCTGGCAGACAACGAAGCTCAAATTAAGAAAATTTCTAGACTGATGTCAAGCCCTGAACAGAAAAAAACCCTGCTTTAATCTTTGCTTTGTGTGACTCTTGATCAAGTGCAAAACCAGATACCTCCATCTTGCTTTAGTTTTTCACTTTGTTCTATTTTCTTATATCATGTGTTTTAATATTTTCGATATTTTGCTGTTTGTGTGTTCATAGGCACTGCAAAAGGCAATTATGTAATGTTTTTTTAAGTGATCTATACTTACAAAAGGCAATGTTTGTGTGTGTATGTGTGTGTGCGTGTGTACGATGTCCAGACGAATCTATCACACTTACAGCCTTGAAATTTGGCACACAGGTAGTCTTAATGGTGACTCAATGCACCTCGAAGCCGGAATTTTAAATTTTAATCTAGAATTTTTTTTTATTTAATGTTTTGTGTTGTTTTGGTTGATTTTTCGCACTAATTTCTCAATAGAATGGTTTTGATTAATTGTACGAAAACAATAGACACATCATCGAAAAGAGCACACGATTTCCGTTCTAATGAAGTTAGTTTTGAATTTCTAACATAATTTACTGAATGTTGATAAATTTTTAAAAAATTGTCAGTTTTGTCATCGAAATTTTATTTTTGTTTTTAAATTTGCTGCATCCAACGTTTAGAAACACTATTATTTTCAATTTTTTTCAGCTTGTAACTGCAACGGTTCTATTGGATTTTAAAAAAAGAACGGTTAAAATATCTTTTCCCGTTGTTTTTTAATTAATTTTTTCACTAGCAAGAGAGCTTCCTTCCGCGACGCTTCTCCGGAACGTTGCTGGCAATTTCATTGGCTGACGGGGCAGAGCGCAGGTGACGTCATAACCTTCAATTGAATGACTGCGATTATTATTTGCGGATTCGATATTATATTTTGCTTGCTGTATAATAATCATTTTCACGTTGCATTTTTTAATATTGTTTCGGATTAACGTACTCTGTATTGCTTTTCTACAGTTAAAATGTCATTATCGCGAAGAAAAATAAGCGGGAAAATCAATAATGTGTATCTTTTGTTTTGTTTTCAGAACTTTCTCATGTCATTGTGGGCGTTTTTTTTCCATTTTGCTGAAGACCTGATTGCACGGGCAACGCCGTGCGCGTACTGCTAGTCTTTAATAAAGATGATGTTTTCATATTCATCTTCCATCTATTCAGTGACCGTAATGGTTACAGGCACGGGGGTAGGAGATGATGTTCTAGCTCTAGTTGTTTTGCTCAGCCTCGTTGTATGGCTCCCCCATTTGGATACCAATAGCCATTAGCAGATTAATGAAATAAGTGTTTCTGAACCAGCAGTTAATGCATATCGTAAATGCTCCCTCATATACAATACGGAAGATCTAGCATAAGAATCTAGAAGTTAAACCCATTTTCGACCATATCAAAGATAATTTTCCCAGATTTTTCCAAAAGCTGCCTCAGCTTCGCAACGCACTTCTTCAGGATCGTTCTTCTAACGTTCTTACTGTTTCCCAAACAACAAGAAGTTCGCATGCCATTTTGGAATACTCTTTCGATCATTTTCCTTCAGTCAAGAGAAGGCGTGTCGACAATTAACTGAGTCGTCTGAACTGCAAATCTGAGCGACCTACTTCATTCATATAAATGTGGTATCCCGCCAACGCACCGTTAGGACTGCCGTGTAATTTAGATCCACCGATTGGCAACTCTCTACTAGCTGACGTCACGCGACACGACTGCTTTCTTCCCTTGCTAGCGACAGACATTGTTGTGCGATTGCGAGTGATGGAGCAAGCTGTTCAGAACTACTGCCTTTATTTTAATATGATGTAAAGGTCAGCAACCGCCCTCCTAATTCTTTTAATCTGTCTTTCTTTTTATGTTGTGCCGTCTAATTGTTTGTTTCATCATAATTAAATTTTAAAATAGCAAACCTGTTTGTTTTCGTCTGACTTCAACCCACATGGGAGCTAGGCTTACATCCTACATAAATGACTCTGTGTTCACAAATTACAAAATGATGGGTTTCCTTATAACTTTCGATTAAAGAACATGGAGATAAATACAGTCGGACCTCTATTTAACGAACCTCTATTTTGCGAATTTCTCTATTTTGCGAACTTTTTCTTGGAACCAAGAACATTTTGCGAATTTTTTCGTAAAATAACCTCCAAATAGCGAAGTGCATTCTCTATTTAACGAACGTTTTCTTGTGATCCAATATTTTTTTTCTCTCTATTCCTCAAAATATTTATAAACATTTAAAACTTTCTTTTAACACATTTTATGTTGATCAATGACCTTGAAGCTGGAAAATGTCAAAGCGAAAATGCTTGAGCATCAAAGAAAAAAATTTAATTCTTCATGAGGTGGAAAAAGGCGTGAAAAAAAAGAATATTGCTTTAAAATTTGGTATTCCTACAAACAGCTTATCAGCCATAATAAAAAAGTCGCGATAAGATACAAAATTATGATTAATCGAATTCTTGTTCAAAACATTTAAAAGCATGTGTCTATGAAGATGTGGATGAGGCAGTTTTGAAGTTGACAGTGTGAAAAATAAAAAAACAATACAGCAATGAATAGCGATGAAGACGAAGATGATGAAGATGGAAATGATCATGATGCAGAAATCAACAAACCTTCGTATGATGAAATGCTAAAATTCATTAATTTTAATATAAAATTATTTTTTAAATTGAAAATACAGTGTATTCCCGGACAATGTTTTGTCTTATTCTAGTTTTCCTGGCAGATTTCTTTTTTGATGGGTAAAATATATAAAACAAATATATTAATTTACAAAATAAAGGTGTGATTAATTACTTTTTTAATAATATTTAGTGTTTATGAATTTAAAATATGTTTTGTGTAGTTTAAAGTATTTTAAAAGATGAATCTCTATTTAACGAATTTTCGATATAACGAACTATTTTTCGGGATTTAGCAACTTCGTTAAATAGAGGTCCGACGGTATTATTTACTCATAAAATGCAATTCAAAAAGTGTTTTTAATAACATGAACAAAGTGAAGCAATTTCCTCACAACAGCATTTCGCGGCATGTAACTCATCGATCCTTGCCTGGAAACAGAATTCAGTCTCGATGCGTTTAGGTTAAGATTAATAAAATGTATGCAATCATTATGCAAGAGCAGTCAAGTATTTAAGTCTCCTGGATGAAATAAGAACAGTCAAACTTCTGAGAGGAAGCAGCTCTCAAAAACTCTTTAGTATAAAAGTTGCGGAAGCCTTTAGTGGCACGTAACATATCGAGACTGGAGTCAATTTCCAGCCAAGTTTCGATGAGATTCATACTGCAAAAGGCTGCTGAAAGATAGAATTTTCTTAACTTTGTTTCTGTTATATAAAAACAAGTAATATATATAAAAAAATTTAAGTCAATTCCTACTTAGGTCAACAAAGAAAAATTTTATTTTAGAAATTTTTTTCTCCCATATAAAACTAAAATCAATTAATTAAATTTAATTAATGAATTAATATTTGAAAAAACTGTATTAACATCAAGTGTCATCCACTACAAGTTAAAAAAAATGTATTTGAACTTGAATGGAAGAATGAAAAGTATTTTATTAACGATTGAAAATTTGAATAAGATATATAAATAAATATAGGGAGAGTGTGAACTAATAGTAGGAATTGAAAAATAGACCTAAGTTTATCCATTCAAACGGGGAAATAAACATTTTTGGATGCAATTGCCAACAAGAGATATTTTTCAGAATATAAGTTAAGTGCAAAAAGGATATGTCTTCAGTAAAACTCTTGACCCGGATGTGATCTGAACACGCAGCCTTCTGATCTGGAGTCAGACGTTCTACCGTTGCGCCACCGAGTCCCGTTCGGCATTTCTTATCCCTACACCATGATCGTAGCCTGTGCGAGGCTCTAATAAATAAAATTAATTAATTAAATTTAATTAATGAATTAATATTTGAAAAAACTGTATTAACGTTAAGTGTCATCCACTACAAGTTTTAAAAAATGTATTTGAACTTGAGTGGATGAATAAAAAGTATTTTATTAACGATTGAAAATTTGAACAAGATATATAAATATATATAGGGAGAGTGTGAACTAATAGTAGGAATTGAAAAAGAGTTGTCATGCTCTTTAACTTAAAGTTATGAGATAAGGAAACCCCGACAATAATTTGTGGACACTCTCTATATTCTAACACTAGCAGTACGCGAACGGCGTTGCCGTGGAGTCAGGACTTCGACAAAACGGGGGAAAAATACCAACAGTGACACAAAAAAGTTTTGAAAACAAAATCAAAACGAAGATACACATTATTGATTTTCCTGCTTATTTTTCCTCTCGACAATGAAGCGAATGTAATGACGTCACCGGAAGGAATCGGATTGTGGAAATGCAAGCTGGGAATGAAAGCATATTACGTCACCTCCTGCGAGGAAGCAACAATGCATTCTGGGATCGTCCGAAGAAACTCTCGCTGTCGAATTTCGCTAGCAAAAATACTGTTTGAACTGATCAGGGAAACATTAATTAAAAAAAAACGGAATAATATATTTTAGCTGTTCTTGTTTTAAATCCGACAGGAACGTTCCAGTTATAAGCTGAGAAAATGAAAATTATAGAGTTGTTAGAACGTCAGATGCGAGAATTTGAAAAAATCCCTATCCCCTCGTATTAGCATAAAAGTGACTATTATTTAAAATTTCTCAAAATTCGGTAAATTATGTTGGGAATTCAAAGGAAACTTCATTAGAACGAAAATTGTTTGTTCTATCCGATGGTGTATGGATTGTTTTTCAACCATCATTAGAAAAGTTGCTACAGCCGTAAAGCGTGCCAAAAATGACCCAAAACAACACAAAACATTAAATAAAAAATTTTCTAGATTAATTTTAAAATTCTGGCTTCGAGGTGCATTGAGTCACCATTACGTCTACCTGTGTGCCAAATTTCATGGCTGTAAATGCGACAGATTCGTCTGGACATCGCACACACATACGCACACACTCAAACATTGCCTTTTATAAGTATAGATACTTAAAATGCGTGTGCGTAGGAATCATGTTACCTGAACTCTTAAATATTACCATTTATCCATATATTTCTTATTCAATTAAAGAACTATTTCTTTATGGCATAGTGGAGCAGATGCTTTTTCTCACTAATTTAAGACCTTTACTTTTGTATTTCTAGAGGTAAAAATATTTTTTGATTTGACCAAGACCTTCCTTACGAGGAACTGCCCCTTATAGGAAAGGTTAAATCCTATTTCTGTGCCTGTCTTATAAAAATATTACAGCCATATTTAAATTCAATAACTTTGATGTGGTAGTGCAGGCTCTCAATGAATCAGCAGAACACTTTAAGACTGACACCCCTTTTCCCGTTTTCTCATTAAGCTGCCGTGATTTATAAAAAAATGAAATTGAATTCAGTTTTCTTTTGGCTAAGTTAAGTCGACCAAGGTAGGGTAGACCGGGGCTAGTTGGCCATAGGGGCACGTTGGGCCAGCCGCCATATTTTTAATACTTTTCGGTATTTAACGCTGCCATTCCGGACAAGTGTGTATTATCCCACTATCCTTCTTCCACATCAGCGTCATTGAAGAAGTAGCGTTCATTAAAGAACCAGCCAGAATTTTCTAATTTTTGCTAAGCTGAGTAAATTTCCTCACTTATGAATAATCGTTTGCTTATAAATTATAATTTCCATTTGTACAAATAATATTGAGAAAGATAATTCCTCATTGTTACTTTAGGGCTTGTTTGCTTATCGAAATGCTTTCAGAATAAATCCCTGCACTCATGAGAAACAAAAATGGCGATATGGGGCTAGTTGGGCCATTTCGCATGGGGAACATTGGCCCGCGCTGCTAGACAGGGTTTATCAGGATGTGCGTTATAGAAATATCTCTGAATATGTGGGATGGAATTGTACCAGATTTATTATGCAAGATGCTTGTTATAAAACACCATGCGGACTCAATTTTGATTCTAATTACATAAGACTATTTGACGATGACCATAAAAACTGTATCTCAGTTTCTATTGAATAGAAATGCACAAAACTTGTATATAATACACATAATGTGGATAATAACACAACTATGTTATTTAAATTAATAAAGTATAATAATATAGAAGAATGTTTTGTGAAAGTCGCTTTATGTTAGTAGTGGCTCAACTTACCCCGACTTGGCCAAGCGACTTGGGGTCAGTTTAAGGTTTTAAATTAATACTCATAGTTAATATATTCAAATGTTACTATGGCAAATTATTTTCGAAGGTTCACTAATAGTGTCAGCTTAATATTTTTTAAAAAAATTTTGAATTCCACTTTTTTAAATTCGCAGAAGTAAAAACGGCCCAACTAGCCCCGGTCTACCCTATATCATTCGTTACAGACAGACACCAAACGTTTTCGTAACGCATTTCACTCAGAGTGGATGAATAAATTGCGTTACGAAACACTTTCGGTGTCTGTCTGTAACGCTTTGTCTCGCCTCATGTCAGGTAAAGCAAATCAATTTCAAAAGACACAACGAAACATAGATTTTTATGTTAGTAAGAAAGTCCGAGCATCCTTCTTATCTCAAGCATCCAAATTTTTCTTAGAAGACAATTCGACGCAAAGAAGGAAGGCAAAAACACCGGTTACTGTACTAAAAGCGGCAAAATGGAAGAAAAAGAAACGGATCTTGTGTCTGTCCAACTCTGGACCATTTGGTAGGACAGTCAAGCATAAAATTACGTGTAGACAGTTATGGCAATGCCATAAATCATTGATTCACCTCCCTTTCTAGAAGTCCAGAAATTCCATCTTTCCTACTTGTGACATAAAAGCACTTTTATGTGTTCCAGCCTGCATGATAGTTTAATGTTTTTTTTTGTGTGTGTCTCTTCTTTTTCGAAGCAACAAATACTTGTTTTTTGTATAATGTGAAGGATTTCGTTACACTCGGCTAAATCGTTTGTTTGAGTACAATGGTTTGGGATTTGGGAGATGTTGCTTAAAATTATTTTTGCAACGATTTCAGTGAATGGGTGTTATATTTCTTTAAGTTCAAAGGAATGTGTCAGTTAAAACTTAGCAGATAGTTGCACAACGAAAAGGGGGATTAAGCGTAATTACTTTTCCTTTATTTTCACCAAAAAAGCATGCAAAAAAAATTGTTTGATGCATTTATGAAATCCGCAAATATTTCTCGACAATATAGGATGACAAGGATTTGAACAATAAATTAATGAATTAAATTGAAATATATAATCATTATATTGTTTTCAGTTGATTTTAAAAGCAAATAAATCGTTTGCAAAAGCATAATGAACTTCAAAGTATATAATTGGCGACAGAATGATGTTATGAGGAACAGATAATTAACAGAAAATAGTCGGTAGTATCAAAATTATTTAGGTTTTTTGAACCTTGCATGTTAAACTCGTATCTGATATTTCCTATCACCACTAAAGTGAAATACAGGATTATCAGTAACAACTACGTAAAATGCAGGGTCATCAAACTATCAAAATATAAAATTATTTGAAATTCAGAAAATAAAACATATTCTTACAATTGAATTTGCGATTGGAAAAAGTGTAGGATTCCACTGAAATGCTATTTTTTTCCAACCACCCAACCAATTGTATTTAATGATATATTTCTTAAATGCAAGTAAATTAATTGATAAATAATTAAATAAACTTGCTCTTTTCTCCTTTACATTGCAAAAAAACTACTTTCAAATCTGACTGGAAAATAAAAAGGCCACATTATCATCCGAACGCTTTCTATGTGCACCCATCGAATAGATGTAAAAGAAAGGAATATTTAAAGCTATTTTTTTTGTAAAATTTATGTTGTAAAAATAATTCCTGGGAGCTTATGATGCATTTTAGAAGAGTCCCTAAAAAGAGAGTCTAAGCATTAATGAGCTAATGCTCTCGTTCGCTATCTACTTTGCACAATTAACACCTGATATATTCACATGGCATTCCAGTACCAAATGTGGACTTTCGTTAGCTGTAATCATGACGATCGATTGAGGGATTATTTATAAAATATGAATCTCATTATTATGAATCTCATTTAAAGTGCATTTTGAATAAAAGCTTATACTTTATTTTTTTTAAAATTTTATTTTCTAATTTTTAGTGACGACTGACACGAATACACACGACATGTTAGTCATAGTAAACCAACTCCAATTATTGAATTCTCCAATACAAAACACATGTATTAAAATTTTTATATACATTTGTACAATTACATTTTAAAAATGATTTAATGACATTAACTTTCTGAAATATAAATCCATAATATATTACGTGATAACATGCAATTATTATCAACAATGTAATAGGAAAAAAAAGAGAATGGATCTATACAATTTTCTCTTTTTGCTTTGAGTGCGCAACGTTTGGCGCACGCGAAGTAAAAAAAATCTACTTCTGGATGTTGGCGAATTCTAATAGAAAGTAAACCCAAGACGCGTAGAAACACAAGCACATATATACCGTTTTTGGAACACCCTGTATAAAGTAAAGGAACTGAGACAGTTGAGATATTTCGTTTAATATATAAAAGTTACTAAGAAATTATAATAAAAATTGGCTTGAACTTAACCTACTATACTTTAAATTATTGTTTAGTAATATTAAATTCAAACTATTTTTACAGCAAATAAATCAGATTAAAATTAAATAAAAATCAGCCTAAACCAAAAGTTTCATTCCCAAATATTTTAATATAAAATGCATAGACAGTAGTTTGAATTCGAATTTATGGATATACATATATGATGCAAACAATCTTTATTGCCTTATGTAGAAAAACGCTGATCTATGAAATTCAAAATGAAAT